CTTCTCTCTTTCTTCTTTTTTTTCAGAATTTTTTTGGTTTAAGACTTCGTGCAATTTTCTACTGTTACAGGATAAACGATCACGTAACCCATATTCGTGGATGAATTTTGGTTTCAAACGAGCACCAATGAATCCATATTCATGGCAGAATGCTTAAGTGATTAAAAGAAAAAAGAGAAAATAAAAATTTATATCTTTTTACAATTTTTCTTTTTTTTCTGTTTTTTTATAGCTTTGCCAAATTGTGGTTTCATTGTTATCAAACTATTGTCGTGATATTAGATAAAAATTCACTATTATTTGATGTACAACTGGAACAGAACAAAAAAGGAACTGAATCTGTGTTTTATCACCAAACGTTGCATTTTTTATGCTCTGTATTCTTCTCAGCGGTACAATGCTTGTCAAAGTTTAGTGTATTCAACAGTAAAATTTTTCGTTTGAGTTTGTTGCTGACTGATTAAAGTGAAAATGTGGGAGGAAGCTTGAATCCATTGGAATATATAACTGATTTGCTCATATACTGCAGTATAACTATGTAGCTGCACTGATTATTTCAGCTAATTCTTAATGAATTAGCGATCTTGAAAGGGTTACGGATTCTGTGCTGGTGGTGAAATGGTCAGTGCGCTGTGTTTGTATGCCTAAGATAGAGGGCTCGAGTTACAGCTGTAAAATTTGACGGTAGGGCGATGAAGCAATATCTTCGATTTCCATAGCGATAAGACTGTGAGCAAACAACTTCGATTAGTCTTACAGAGCCCTACCGGAACATTTTTGCACTGATACACTCTGTGTGTTTTGTACACAGAAATTAATGTTACTGCATAATTTTGCAAAATTTGAGCAAAACTTAATTTATTGAACAAAATTAACCTCCTTCATCCGTGATAGTACTTGTACCACAACAATTTTTTATTGCTTGACATTTGCACCAAAAATGATCACACAGATTTGATAGTGTGTAGACCGATTAAATCAAAATTGTGAAAAAGAAGTTAAAGAAAAAAGAAAGCAGAAAAAAATGAGCAAAAAAAAAAAAAAAAAAAAAAAAA